GGGGGGGGGGGGAGAAGAGAAGCAGGGAAAATGTCGAAGATCAAGCTGGTTGTTGGCGGCCAAATCTCCTCAGAATCTCCGGGACAAACGTACCATCCGCGAAGAGGGATCAAGTGACAGACAACCCCCGCTGATGGCATGATAGCTACGGTTGCGAGAACCACGGCCCCTGCCCACCTCCGCCGTACCGGCGTGGTTGGTGTCCCTTGTGGCCCATTTGTTCGTCGAACCGACACCCTTGCCTGCCTGTCTGTCCGTCTATCTCGCGTCATCTTCAGGACATGCCTCGCGACGAGTTCACGGCGGAGGCGTTCTTCAAGGGTTTCACGGAGGGATGGACGGCCGCGGGCGGCGACACGACGGTGGGGAGCTGTCCCGTTCCCGAGCCGCACTTCGAAGGGGTCGAGTACCTCATCGACCAGGTTTGTGTGACTGCACAAGTGTTGCTGCTGTGGGCCTGCTCGTCTTGCCATCGTAGATTGAGCTTTGCTTGAAGAGTTTATTGCGATACCGCGTTCAGGGGGGGTGAGGTGGGGGAAGCGGGGGGGTCTTGTTGCTTGCCTGCTTGCGTTGCGCGTAGCCTGTTCGTTACCACCGGTATTCGAAAATGCTGACCTTGTTCTCCCGGTCACCCATCTCCCTGCGGACGTTACCACGTATGGTACCCGCCCCCCCCCGCNACCGACGAAATGCACTTTGTATTAGCGATCTGACGAAATGTTTTTGTTTTGTGACCCGGCGGAACGCTTCGTGGTTTGTGATCTGCCGGCGCGCCCCTACCGTGTTTCCGTTCACTAACGACAAATTCAACGCAGGGGAGCAAGCCTCGCGGCGATGCTGGCCAGTGCCGGCTCGGCTCGGAGCAGGAGGTGCAAGGTGTCGTGGGCAAGGTCGACGAGTGGACGCGGCTGCTGAGGAGCAAGCTGCAGAAGCTGAACGACGTGCTGGGCTGCTGCGACCGGTCGCTGTGTCCCGCGGACCACCCGGAGGACCAGGTACCGCGTACTGGCGTTGCTCCTCTTGTGGTGTCATGGTAATTGTTGTTATCTGCGTTTGTTCTTACTTTTCCCCTCTCGTGTCTTAAGTGGGGAACGCCTCGGCGCTATGTAAATCGTTTTCCGCTTGTGTTCTTGCCATGCCGGGCACCGATTCCCCGAGGCACACGAACGTTTTTACGTGTTACCCGGATGAGAGAGACGCTGACGTCGTCTTTTCAGCTTGTCCTCCGCCCTGTGATGTAGCCCGTCGGCCGATGCGCTCCGAAGCAAAAACTCGCTTTTGACCACCAACCAACGGTGAATGTACCGAACGTGTCGCCGCCGTCGCCGCCGTCGCCGCCGCTGTCCTTGTATCAGCCGTGCACACTGATGGACATGCCTCACGTGTGGGACGAGGAGCACTGGTACGTTACCTTTACGGGACCCGTCTACGCCGGCAAGTACTTCTCGGAGTGGTTCCTCCTCAACTACCTCAACGGCATGGACGTCGCCTGGGGTGAACTCAGGTGGGGTAGGATTAGGCAGGCGCGGCCCGCCCGGCGGGTAGGGGAGGGGGGAACGTACTCATGGTTTGCATGCCCTAGTTGTTAGACGATTTGCCACGCGCCCTCGAAAGGGGGGGGGG